TATAAATACATACGTATATATACATACGCATATATATAAATACATACTTATATATACATACGCATATATATAAATACATACATATATATACATATGCATATATATAAATACATACATATATATACATATGCATATATATAAATACATACATATATATACATACGCATATATATAAATACATACATATATATACATACGCATATATATAAATACAAACATATATATACATACGCATATATATAAATACATATATATATATATATATACATACGCATATATATAAATACATATATATATATATATATATATATATACATACGCATATATATAAATACATATATATATATATATATACATACATATACATACACACATATATATACATACATATACATACACATACACACATACAAACATACATACATATACATACATACATACATACATACATATACATACATACATATACATATACATACATATATATGCATATACATCTTCAGAGACTCTACTTCCTCAGGAGGCTGAGACGAGCTGGTCTGGAAGCTCAGTCCTCACCTCCTTCTACAGGTGTGCAGTGGAGAGCATCCTGTGCTCCAGCATCAACGTGTGGCATGGAGGCTGCACAGCTGCAGAAAGAAAAGCTTTGCAGAGAGTGGTGAAGGCTGCACAGAAGATGTTGGAGTCAGTCTCCCCACCATCACAGACATCTACACCTCCAGATGCAGGAAGAGGGCCACCTGCATCATGAAAGACCCCACTCACCCAGCACACACACTTTTTGCCCCACTCCCCTCAGGAAGGAGGTTGAGGAGCATTAAGTGTAGAACCACTAGACTGAGGAACAGCTTCTACCCTGAGGCTGTTAGACTCACGAGTCTCTAACTAGAATAATCACTGTGAAAAACCACATCATGTTGCTGCTGATCTGTTTCATGTTGCTGCTGATCTGTTTCATGTTGCTGCTGATCTGTTTCATGTTGATTTGTGCTCACCTGCTCACACACCCATGCTGCTGTTCGATGTAATGTTTTTATGCTATTAGTGTATATTTATTTTATGTTTTTCTTAGTTCATATCTTAGATGTTATCATCGTTTTTCTTTTACATTTCATTGTTGGATGTAACTGGGACCATTTGGACATAACTTGTTTCGAACAACAATAAAAACCTCCGACTCTGTAAACAGCTCCGTTAGCTTAGCTAGCTAGCCTCCTGTTTCCGCCGGGTCAGTGCAACTTTACTGTTTTTATTCTATAAATTTAGAAAACAACTTCAGTTGTATTTTTTGATGACGGAGTTTGAAACTGGCCTCTAAACGCGCTTTGCTCGTTTTACTTTGAGTTGGTTCCTGAAACGTTCAGCCACCTACCAACTGGTTTCCAGGCGGTCTCCAGCAGCCTGCGCTGATGGTCGAGCTCCTCTTCGTACAACACGATCATTTTCTCAAACTCGGAGAAGATTTCCGCCACAGCAGCGTTTATTCTCCCACTAACGAACTCTTTCAGATGCTGAACTGAAGACATCCTCTCCTCCGCCATCTTTCTTCTTCTTCTTCGATTTAATGGCGGTTTGAAATCTCCTTCTCCTCCGCCATCTTTCTTCTTCTTCTTCTTCGATTTATTGGCGGTTTGAAACTCACAGCTGACTTACCGCCACCAACTGGACTGGAGGAAGGATCATGGATCTGGAGATCGGCAGGAAGGAAATACTACTCTAGACAAATAAATTAGCTAAGTGCTTTAAAAAAAGAAATAACTTAACGCTGTATGTTACTGATTTATCTTCCAGGTGCCCAGTTTTTGCCCCGCTCCCCTCAGGCTGAAGGTTGTGGAGCATTAAGTGTAGAACCATTAGACTGAAGAACAGCTTCTACCCTGAGGCTGTAAATTCTTATAAATCTCTTACAAGAAAAATCACTGTAATTCCACTTTAACTGGTGATATGTGACTTATCTGTGCTGCTGATTATCCATGCTGCTGATCTCTTGCCTTTAAGCTGCTGTGTTCATACCCATCTGCTCACCACAGACTCATGTTCAGGCTGCTGTTTAATAAAAGTTTATTTTACATTAGTGTTCAGTGAATATCTTAGATCCTTATGTACTGTTTCTTTTTATACTTAATTTTATTGTTTTGCTATTTTTGTGAAACTGGGACCTCGACTACACATCACTCGTAGCACGTGATTGCAAATGACAAACTTGATTTGAAAAAGGTGCTGCACCAAGCGGCGTGGAGGAAGTTTAACAAATATTTAAAAAAAAACCACTTATAGCACAATACAATAAAAACATATCATGAACTTATTAAACAGAAAGGATTTCAGTCTAAACAATAAAAAGTCAAATGAAGAGATTTCATACATAAAAAAGAAAGTTCAGTCGAACCTGCTTGAACATTTTTATTGTAACGCGATGAAAACATTAAATTCAGTTTTCTTTTCTCAGACCCCTCTTAGACAAAAAACAATATTAAAAAATAAATCAAAGGAAGGTAAAGTTAAGCTTAGAATCACAAACAGGACCAATTCAGACAAATGTAAGATGCAAGATAAGGGAGAGACTCGGAGGAGCCGCTGCTCCTCCACCATCCAGGTCAGGCAGATGTCTCTGGACGCCTCCCTACGGACGTGTACAAGTCAAGTCTAACTGGGAGGACACACTGGACAGACTTGTCTCTCAGCTGGCCTGGGGAGACCTAGGAGTCCACCCAGAAGAGGAGGCTGTGGAGAGAGATGTCTGGACCTCCTGATCAAGCTGCTGCCCCCGAGACTCTCGGACAAGTGGTAGATGATGGAGTTTAAGCTGCAGCGATATGAATTTTAAGACCTGAAACAGAAAATCTGCACATCTTTAAGACACTCAGAAAACTCCTTCAGCTGCGTCACCCGTTCTAAGAGTCGTTGCAGAACGGAGGACCAGCTGTGTCCACCTCATGGACTTTTACGTGAGATTTAAGTTGTGAGCTGTAAGTGAAACTTTTACCACACGTCTGGCAAGAATACGGCTTCTCTCCCGTGTGGAGCCTCATGTGGCTTACGCAGTTTCCTTTAGTGCTGAACGATTTTCTGCAGACTTTGCAGGAGAAGGGTTTCTCACCCGTGTGACTCCTCATGTGGACGGCTAAGCTGCTGCTGGAGGACAACACTTTGCCGCAGGTGGGACAACCGTAGTCAGAGTTCAGGTCCTCGCCCATGTGAGTCTTCATGTGACCTCGGAGCTCGTCCTGAGTAAACGTTTCCTCACAGACTTTGCAAGAAAACAGATAACGGCGCTCGTGGACTCTCATGTGAATTCTGCATTTCTTATCGCAGCTGAACGTCTTTCTACAAAACGTGCATGAAAACGGCTTCTCGCCCGTGTGACTGCTCATGTGGACGACCAAACTCTTCCTGGAGGAGAACGTCTTGCTGCAGGTGGGACAGCAGTGGTCAGAGTTCAGGTCTTTGTTTGTGTGGATTTTCATGTGAAACCTGAGCCTGTCCTTACGAGTGAACATCTCCCCGCAGACTTTACAGAGAAGGTTCCGATCCATGTGGTTTCTCATGTGGATTTCACAGTTACTGCTGGAGCTAAACTTCTTTCTACAGAATGTGCATGAAAATGGCTTCGCGCCCATGTGGCTTCTCATGTGGACGACTAAACTATTACGAGCTGTGAACGTGGCGCCACAGAGCGGACAGCAGTGCTGCCCTTTGCCAGAGTTTGGGCCTCCTGCCATGTGGACCTTCATGTGTTCCAGGAGAAAGGACTCCCCAGAAAACGTTTCGCCACAAATTGGGCAGTAAAACGATCTCTCAGATGAGATAAGTCCAGCAGAACTCTGAGGCTGGTCCCTGTCCGGTTCTGATTCACTTCCCTCGGTCAAAGCAGACACCATTAACAGGTCAGTCTCCTGCTTGAGGTGGAGCTGACCTTCCTCCTGATCGGTGCAGAGTTCCTCCTCTTCTTCCTTAACGTGTTTGGATTCTGGCTCCTCCTGGTCTTCTTTTATCAGATGAGGTTCTGAATCTGGTTCCTCCTGATCCAGAGTGGAGTTCGTCTCCTGGCTGCAGAGCTGTAGGTCTGGGAGGGTCAGCTCTGTCTCCTGGACTGATTCCTCTTGTTGGTCTGCATGAAGAAAACAAGAGAAAGACCGAACAGAAATGTGTTGTTTAACGGACTGGACCCACAGGACTCGGACCGTTCTGACGGACAGAGACGCCAGCATGGTGGCATCTCTGCCAACCATCCCACAGTTCTCAAGTCAAATTTATTTATAAAGCACATTTATAATGTTCAGCAGCTGTTCTGACAAGAAACTTGAAAAAGTTTAAACCACAGGATAGCCAGAGTTCGTGCTGCCATCTTGGATGGTGCTACATCTTAAATTTCTGCTAGCAGCACAACATACGAGTATTATTCTTATAAATATAGCAACCTAGTATGATTATCTTTGTTCCTTTGAAACTACTACAGTGTTACTAGAATAAGGTTTAATCTGGGGCTGCAGTGAGAACAGCTTGGAGCCATTTCAACAAGCTTTAATCATTTTTTACATGTTTGCTTTGCTTGAGGCCCACACTTTTCTGACTAATCTCCCTTGTTAACAACAAAATACGTAAACATTTTATTACTGACAAAACGAATATTGAATTTTTCTTACATTTTCAGTATTTTGATCAGGCACAGGCGCAGCCACCTCAAGCAGACTCCGCCCGTTAATCTGGCCGATTGGTCTAGATGTTCCTTAATTTAGTGTGGTGGAGCTCCTGGTGGTTGTGTGAGCAGGTTCAGAGCTACGTACCGACTCTGTGCAGCTTCAGCTCAGGTTTCCAGCTGACATCCAGCAGTCTGCGCTGACGGTCGAGCTCTTCTTCGTACCGCAGGATCGTCTTCTCAAACTCGGAGAAGATTTCTGAGGCAGCAGCGCTCAGTCTTTCACCGATGAACTCTCTCAGAAGAACAACCGAAGACATTTTGTTTAGTTTTTACAAAGAGAAAATGTAAAATATTCAGCTAAGAACAGAAAACCGTCCTCCAAACAACGAATCTGAAAACAGCCTCTTCTTTTCTTCTACGTCTTTGACGTTTAATGGCGTCTGGGAACAATGGCGGCGCTTTGGCGCCACCACGTGGTCAGTTTCATCTTCTTCTTTGTTTTTTTATGGCGGTTGGCAAACAACATTTGGTGCATTACCGCCACCACCAGTAAGGAGTGTGAATCGGGACTAGCAAGCAAAAAAACAAAACTTATTTTAATTAATCAATCAACCTTTATTTATACAGGTAAATCCCATTGAGCCTCGAGGACTCATTTACAAGAGAGACCTGATTTAAACAAAGAAAGATGAAACAATGGACAACAGCAACAACAATAAACAGTTATAAAAAAGCATACTACAGTTTTTTTTTTTTTTTTTTTTTTTAACAAATAGGATGGCTAAAAGGAAAAGGTAACAAAACAAAAAAAAACAGCTAGATTCCAAGACAAATGTATAAAACTAACAACAGGAACATGTCTGCATTGGTCCCTGCCAGGAGTCCAACAAATTCTTAAAGACACTTTCACTTTCCCCACAGAACTCACACCTTCCTGTGTCATGTTTCCCCTTTATATATATTTATTTATTTATTTTTTTTCATTTAGCCTTTATTTATCCAGGTTAGTCTCATTGAGCCACGAGAACTCATTTTCAAGAGAGACCTGTTTAGGGAGCACATGGTGGGGGTTAAGGGCCTTGCTCATGGGCCCAGGGTGGGGCGAATGAGGGTGGGGGCAAGAGTGGGTGTTTCACCTACCCCACCCACAATTTTGATGTTGTCGGGGCGTGAACCGGCGATCTTTGGATCACAAGCCCACCTCTCTAACCTCTGCGCCACCACTCCCCCATATGTAACGTTGCATTAAGTCCTGAATGACCTAACCGTAGCAGAGTTATTATTCTTTCCTGTAATCTATTTCTTCCAACACCTCTTCTATTTCCTCCAACCTTCCTTTGAATTCTATAGAGCCATCTTCCTTTTTACATCCTCTTCCCACTGCTTCTGCCATTTTTCTCTCATTTTTCTTTTAATAATACTTTTAGTCTCTGACTTACTAAAAGGTACTCTTACATTAACTTCTTTTCCCTTTGCAGAGTCTTTGGCCTTCTTGTCTGCCATTTCATTTCCTTTCACTCCTGTATGTGCTGGTACCCATAGAAACACAAGAATTAACCCCATCATCTGAATCCGATATAATATTTGCTGAATGTGTATCAAAATATCTGGACGACTTTCTGAGTGACTTCTTTGTAAACTGATGAATGATGAGCTTGAATCAGAACAGATGATGGCTCTTAAAGGTCTTGTTTCTTCTACCCATTCCATTCTAACATTATTGCAACCATGTCTGCAGTATAAACAGAGTCCTTCATTCAGTTTCTTCCCTATGTTAAGTTTAAATTCTGGAATTATAACTGCTACTCCTGTATCACCTGACGGACTCTGGGAAGCATCTGTATAAATTTTTACATAATCAAGATTTCTCTATGTACTCTTGTACTATTGTTGAGTTACATATGAATGTTTTATCTAATTTCCTTCTGTGTAACAAAGTTAAGTCTACATTGGCCTCAGGTATAATCCACGGTGGAATTATTGATGATGGCACAGTCGGACTGATTTTTAAATTATGTATTTCTAATTCCTTTGTTTCCTGTATTATTTTCAAGACATGAAATTTGTTGTCTGCTCTGTCCATCTCCCAACACTGTTGTAAAATTACCTGTGCAGGATGATTTTGACTGTGTCCCTTTAGATTAGCCCAATAATTTAATGATAATTGTCTCCTTCTTAATGTTAGTGGCATTTCTCCCATCTCTACCTGTAGAGCTGAAGCTGAAGTTGTTTTCTTTGCACCTGAGATTAATCTCAAAGCCTGGTATTGAATTGTATCCAGTTTTCTGAGAGCTGTGTCTGAAGCTGATCCATATACTAAACAACCATAATCTATTGTTGACCTTATAAGGCTTATGTATATTAATTTTAATGCTTGTGTATCTGCACCCCAATCGTATCCGACTAAACATCTTATTACATTCAGTATCTTTTTACATTTGTCTACAACCTTTTGAATATGAAATGTCCAGTTCAGTTTCTCATCAAACCATAATCCTAAGAATTTGAATTGTTTTACTCTCTCAATGTCCTGATTGTATAACTTCAATTTTATTTCCTGATTTACTTTATTTGTAAAAAGTATAAGTTTCGTTTTATCAACAGAAAATTTAAAACCCCATTTATAAGACCATTGCTCAATCTTATAAATTGCATTCTGTAACTTTTTAACAATAATTTTTTTATTTTTTCCACGTTTCCATTTAGCCCCATCATCAGCAAAAAGAGAGCAACCCATGTCATTCTCTATTTCCTCAAATACATCGTTACTCATGATTGAAAACAATAGTGGGCTGATAATACGACCTTGTGGAATAGCAGAGCTGCATCTAGGCGCCCGAGGGAGCAGATGGTGGGGGTGAAGGCCTTGCTCAAGGGCCCAGAGTGAGGAAAATGAAGGTGGAGGCAGGTGTGGGTGCTTCACCTTTCCCACCCATGTTATATGTTCCCATGTTGTGAGTACTGGGAGTTGAACCGACGATCACAGGCCAACCTTCTCTAACCTCTGCCCCATCGCTCCCCTCCCTCCAGCCGTTATGAACGGCTGCCACGCCCTGAGAATAAACCGAGTCCGTCTACATTTGACATCTGCACGAATCATCTGGATCCAGAACAAGCTGCAAACTTCTTCACCTAAAAATAAACTCCAAACTTTGTCTGAACAGATAAAAGTCGAGTCCTGAGCGGAAGCCACAAACATTTATTGTAGAAAGACTTCCTGGACAGTCGTATTTATAACAAAGTTCAAGTTCTAATCATTTTAACATGTGAACACCTATAAAAGATAAATAAATAAATAATCTAAACAACTTTTTTTTAGTTTTTCCACATTGTGGTGCAAGAGTAGACGGCAGTACATGAAATATCAGGACTTTAAATCAGTCAGTTAGTTCAAGCGCATCGACAGATCTTTAAAGACTTTGCTTCAGATTTAACATCAGGACCAGAAAACACTGCAGGCTTCTGTCATGTTTACGCTGCAATGCATTCTGGGTAAATGACGTGGACAGGTGGCTCCGGTGCGAGCTCCGTCCAGCTCGAAGGTTAATTTTGTACCATGTCCGACGTTCAGCCCGTTAATTTGAACCGGACCACGTCGACAGAGGAGAACGTAGAACCGAGTCGGGCTGCTGCTGACGATGATGAAGACTGAGCGATGAAGAGTCAGACAGAAGAGCTGCTGATGAGAGACGATGCTGCTCTGCTGCTCACGAACATCGGGATCGAAACATGCTCACCGGTAGATTAAGTACACGTTATATAATCTTAAAGACTTAAAGAAACTTTAGGCACAGCTTAGGTAAAAGCTTTAGCCTTTTAGCTTTCGGCTTAGCTCCAGGGCTAACGTCCGAAACAGCAGAAGATGATCACATTTGATGGTCTGGACCCACACATCGTTCATAACGGCATTAGGACAAACACAAACTAGAGAAACTGCATTTCCTGCAAAAATAAAGTGTGAATGCTTATTGCTGAAGAACTTGCTGAAAAACAGCTGAAATTAGCAAAAAACATGCTCAAATGTAGCTGAAATGGAAGAACAAGCATAATTTAGCAGAAGAAAGCTGAAAGAACACATATTTGCCGAATCAGGTTTAAATAAACAGAAATGAGCACAAAAATTGGGAATTTAGCAACAACAAAAAAGGCGAAATAAGAAAAAAAAAACCTGAAAATTAGCTGAAGACAGAAAAAAGCTTAAACTACAAGAATGAAAAGAGCTGAAATGAGCTCCAAAAAGGTGGAATTAGCTGAAAAAGCTAAAACTGGCATATAAGCAGGTAAATTATAGCTGAAATATCTGATGACGCTGACACTAGCCAAAAGAAAAGAAGCTGAAACGAACATAAGCTTAAGTTACCATAAAGAAGTTAATTATGCTGAAAGTAGCAAAAATTACAGAGAAAAAAAATGAATTTATCTGAAAACAGATTAAATTAGCTTTAAAATGCTAAAAAGCTAGATGAAAAGGTAGAACAAGCTTAAATTAGCAGAAGAAAGCAGAAAGAACACGTGTCCAAATTAGCTGAAAGAAGCAGAAATGAGCACAAAGTGGAAATTATCTAAAAAAAAAAAAAGCTAAAAAAGAAGCTTAAATTAGCAGAAGGAAGTGGAGAGAGCACGTTTCTTGCTAACTTGGGCTGAAAGAAGAATTGAGTACAAAAAATGTGCAATTAGCTGAAAAAGCTAAAAATTAGCATAAAACTGCTAAATAGTAGCTGAAATAGCAGAAAAAGCTGAAACTTGCAGAAATAAGCTGAAAGGAGCATAACGAGCTGAAATTAGAAGAAACGAAAATGTTGTAGTTGTATGTTAAATGTTGTAGAAAAAAAAAACAGCTGAAATTATCTGAAATGAGCTGAAAAAGGTTTAAATTAGCTGAAAGGAGCTGAAAGGAGCAGTAAAAGGTTGTAAACAGAGCTAAAGAGCTGAAGGAGGTAAAATGAGCTCAATTCATTTTCTATGAGAGACAAATGTCAGAAAAGGTTAAATGTTTCCAACAGCTAAAGTTGCACCAATACAAAAGTTAGAGCAGGATTGTCCTGAAACAGCCGAACGTTTTGATTCATGATTTGTTGAAACTGCGGGACGAGAAAGAAGCTGGAAATGGTGCGGAGGAGAAAAGGACGACGGCCGAGTGAACGCTTCACAAACATTCACAGAATTAAAACTTTACGGTCAAACTTTATAACTTTCGGCCTCGACTCCGTTTGTTTAGTCTCTGCTACAACCGGTGTACGTCATCCGCCCAGAATGCGTGGCTCCGGTAAACAAAGGCGCCGACCCGAGGATCGACGTAAAGGTACAAACTCCTCCTCAGACGCCGCGCAGGAAGAAAAACAGGTTGAATGAAAAAAGACGCCTCGCGTGACGCGAGAAGATTTCCCACAGGACGGACACGAACGCTGCCGCTTGTCAGGCGTCTTCTTTCCCACCAGCGTGACGTCTGACGTGAGCCCGGAGGACCTGGACGTAGGCGAAGGTTTTCCCGCAGGTGCGGCACGGCTGCAGGGGCCGGTCCGAGTGGAAGCTCTTGTGAACGAGTAAACTCGTGCGGGTCGAGAACCTTTTGGCGCAGACGAGGCAGCGGTGCCGGAGCGCGTCGGAGCTGCCGGCCGAGCTCGAAGGCTCCGAGAGACGTGAGCTGTCGGCTCGTCTTCCTGCTCGACCCGTAGGGACGTGTTCTGACCCATTTCCACAAGTTCTCCCAGGAATGTTGCCGACGTGTTGCCTCCTGTGATGTTCCCAAAGTTGCCTCTTTTTTCTGAAGGCCTTTCCACAAACGTCACATTTTAAGAGCTTTCTTCCACCTCCGCCGATACAGGAACTACCACATGATCCGAATGTGTCCAAACTGACATCGTGACGACCGCCCTGGTTCTGGGTCTCGGGTCCAGCAGAACCCTGAGAGAAGTGCTGCTCCCCGTCTGGTTCTGTCACCATTAACGGATCCGTCTCCTGCTTCAGGCCGAGCTGATGGTCCTGATTGGTGCAGAGCTCCTGCTCCTCCTCTTTGATCTGTGCAGGTTCTGGTTCCTCCTGGTCTTTGTTGATCTCTGGAGGTTCTGGTTCCTCCTGGTCCACGCTGGAGTTACTGTCCTGGTTGAAGAGCTGCGGGTCTGTGAGGATCAGCTCCATGTCGTGAACTGGTTTCTGGTGAAGGTCTGAATGGACAAAACGAAGAAGTTAAAGGTGAGACTTGAAGGAATGTCTTCACAGCTTCATGACTCTCAGCCACTACCACCTCAAATATGAGCTCATCTGAAACACTGACAAGTTCACATCCACTCCTGTCTGCTCAGGCAGCATCTTCAATTACACTCCAACGTTCACCTGTTTACCCAACAACAATAATAACGATACTAATAATAATAATCATATAATAATCATATAATGATAATGATAACAACAATAATAATGACGATAATAATAATCATATAATGATAATGATAATAATAATCATATAATGATAATGATAATAATAATAATGATAATAACAATAATAATAATGATACTATTAATAACAATGATGATAATAATAATGATACTATAATAATAATGATAACAATAATGATACTACTAATAATGATGATAATAATAATAATAATAATGATAACAACAATAATAATGATAATAATGATACTACTAATAATAATACAAATAATAATAATGATAACAATAATGATAATAACAATAATAATGATACTACTAATAATAATTATGATAATATAATAATGATACTAATAATAATAATGATAACAATAATTATACTACTAATAATAATGATGATAATAATAATAATAATGATAATAACAATAATGATAATAACAATAATAATGATACAACTACTAAT